TTTGAATGGAGGAAAGGAAAAACCTTGTGTATTCAAGTATTTCCAAAAAAGGGAGTGTTTATGAAAAAAGTCTGACTTCGAAAATCATCCATCAATCTTCAAATGGCCTGAAATCAACCTTTCACCGTTGATAGTTAAAATTTCCCCCTCGAATTGAGATCCTCTCCGTTCTTTTGGCAGGACAAGAGATTGAGTGCAGAGCTGCATATCGACCACAGGAAGCCATTACGCATGTCCATGCTAAAACGACTGGCGCGTTTGAACTGACTGTGTCCAAGAGCTTCTACTGTCATCAGCGTTCTTGTAATTGGGCGTTTTTAGTTTGCATGATTTGTCAAAACGTTTCAAAGAGTATGCGTTTTTAAAAGAAAACGAAGGGATGGGAGGTCAGATTTGGCAAATTAAAAGATCAGAGCATAAACTGTTGAAGTTTCAGTATTCTGTTCCTGTATAAGAAGATTCTAGACTCGAATAGAACAGAAGGTCGACGCATAGACAGATCAGTCAAACTTACTTGATCTGCCACTGCATTAACAGCTTTATCAATTCTGAACCGAGCATTACATTTTCATTCTGATCATTCATATACCCTACTTACCGTCTGCAGGTAAGCTGCATAATTCTTGAAAATCTGCGTTTTTGCAAAAATTTTCCCTCCCCTTGAGGATAACCTTTCCGTCCAATTCTGACTTTATTATGTATTTCGAGTACGCGTCAAGGACATCAACCGCTGAAGAAGAAAAGGATTAGCCATTGATAAGGTATAGTCGAAGCTTGCGTAACCAGGAGTTGAAAGGGGAGCAACTTTTATGCTAAAATTGTGCCATTGCCATTATTGTGCCCCATTTTCTGAAACAAGTCTGGAATAAATTTGAATTTGAATGGCAAATTCTTATTTAGACTTTCTACCGTTAGGTCCCAGTTTTAACGGTGTATCGACACTTTTTCCCGTCGTTATGTATATGAATTCCCTTTCCTTTAGATCAGCTTTCTTTCTTTTTTCCCCCTTTCTTACGCAGCATTGTGCCAATTAATTTTTTTCACTTGCACTCTAAAGAAACCCTTAGAGCCTTACTAAAAAATACAATTTGAAATATTATGTAATATTTAACTGAGAGCGAGTGTCGGACGGGAAATATTCGGCTCGAGGCCTTTATTCTTTTGAATCAGAACAAAACACTCGTAATTCATGGAAAAACGCGACTTTTGAAACTCTTTTAAAGCTTTGCAGCTGAATTCGCGGACAGTAAACAACATTGCCATAAATCTTGAGAGTACATTCACTACTTTAAAAATTTAAATTCTAGGAATTCGCCCTGTGTGGCGCCATTTGATAAGGAGGAAAGATGTTTCATTTTCTATGGGTTTACAGGTAAATATACAATAGATTTCTGACCAATCAGAGCACGCGTTATGTCGAAATCATGTTATAATTCTCTTTAGTTCTGTAATCAACTTACCGGGGGTTACTGTTACACTTATCGTGGCGAGAGTTCCAGTCGCTATAAAAGGCCATGGAGATATTTTGATTTTTGCTGTATGGTCATGAAAGCCTGTCGAAAAATGGAAACTTTCACCGAAAGTGTCGTTATTGTGTTCCACACCATCTTAGAAAGGCTGGTAAACTCGTCAGAAAATCATGATCATAAAAACTCTCTAGACTCATTTAAATATTATGACCAGGCGACTGTCTTTGCTGAAGAACCAAAAATGATTTTCCCTCATTAAAGCTTTGAATAAACGCATGAATTTGACTCTATCTTTAACATCTTAGATGACTGACGGAAAAACGACGCAACACAACAAAAACTCAGGAAAAGAGAGACAAGCAAAAGCTCCCCTTCCCCTTTCTGTAACAGTTTTGCTCGTCTGATTGTTGAAGTTTACTAATGGACTGCTTCGGGGTGGAGAGATTTATTTATTGCGTCACAATGAGATCTACCTTATCTCCCTCTAAAGCTCTGTAGTGTTGTAATGATCCTCTCACATTGGCCGTCAATAATCTCTAGCCCCCCCTATTTATTCCCTTTCAGCGACGACTGATTCCCCCCACATTAGGTGTTAAATAACAACTGGTTGCCCTTGCTGCAAGCAAGGAATTCGGTCTGTATTTGCTATATATTTGGATTATCTATTTATCGTTTTCAAGCGCATGTCGCCGTAAGACTTTTTGAAGCCACTCCTTACTTTGATGCTTTATTGCACTTAGTCGACTCCGAATGCGTACCGCCGACTACCCTTTCCTATCCTGTTTTAATAACAGGAAAATGTTCAGAGTTCACTGACACAGTTTCAATAAAAATGAAATGAAACAACTAACCATCACAGATCGACGCATTTTTAAATTCTATTCCTGAGGGATATCCTGCTCCTCCACTTGTAACGAAAAGGAACAAGTTTAAGGAGATAGTCCGCCCCAGCTGATTGGCTGAAATCACCATTTTCTTCGTATCCAACAAGTGGATAGCAATATCTGTAGAGAACAGTTAATTTTAATGTACAACGCAACAAATCTTTCTGATGAAAATAAAAAACCTACACCTATTATTCCTAGCAATCTTGTCAATTAAGAAGCATGTAAAACATGTACGTTAGTAAAAGCTGAGTAACTTTTCGGAGTGTTTTGCGTATTTGTAGGAAGACAAGTTAATTTTTATTAAAGTTAATGCTTCGATACTACTGAGATAAAATCGATGGATCGAAAGTTGTCCATAAGGGACTTACAGAAAATTGTAATGTGATAAAAAAAAACATCCTCTTGATATAAATGTCTACAACCCTCTTCATCAAGTTGGTTTATCTATAAATTCAGAAATTGTGCTCTATCTTTGCAGTGAACCGTTTCTTAAATAAAGGGGTAAGTTTCTAAAGAAACTGTGGTGCTGCGTTGGTGGAAGAGTATAGAAGGTAATTTAATGTTAACAACTGAGTTGAAAACGTAAATTAGCCACCGTTAAGGGCGAAAAAGGTGACTTTTCGAGTGTTAGCCCTTCGTCAGAGCGAAATAAACGAAAATTGAAACTCCTTTCATAGAAATGGAGACGAGAGTCATCAATCCTCGATGCAGGAAATGAATGATCACTTTGGTAAAACTATTGACAAAATATGTCCAAGTCAACCGATGGAATTAATAAAATCACCAGAAAATTGCCTATGCATATCTAGCAGCGATTTTGCGAGATACATTTATCTTTTTGTTTATAAAATGACGAATTATATTTCTTTTCAAGAAGGAACATAAGAAAGAAATGTATTAATGTATTGTGAGTCGCAAGTCGTGATACTCTATATTAGACTTAAAGGCTCAAAATCCAGTCTATTCCGTTTTCTTTTGTGATATTTTCAATTTTAATATTCCCTGAATCATTCATATCTCGACCTTAAATAAAAACATGACGAACTCATACAGGTTTACGGACTTTTAATTACTTTGACTCTCTATTTCCCGCGCCCGCCTCTACGTACCATGAAGAACTCTCAAATTCCTCGTGCATCGACGCTTTCCTCAGTTGAAATTCAGTAGAATTGAAAAGTCACTTACCTTGTTATTCAGGTGTTGTTCAACGAGCCTTTATCGTTCTCTTGTCGTAATCAAGATTTGTGGCATTAAACTACAATTTAACAATAGTTCCAAACCTACCATTATTTTTCAATCATTATGTAAAAAATCTAACCGGAAGCGAAAGTAAGAAAGATTAGCTCATGAACCAAACAGGAAGCGACCTCTTCAAATAACTGTTCGCTCAGCAGTTTATAGGGAACAATGCTAATTGGGCGTTAAAAGAAAAAGGCGCTCCTCCTTATTCGTAAAAATGTTTGTGAAAAAGTTTTTCTTTAGTTTTGTTTATTTCATACGGCCAAGGGTACGTACGGGATGTGTTATTATGGAATACATAAGCGGTGCATAGAAAATTTAATGCAAAAAGTGTTTGAAATCATGCTTGAAAATCATCTTGATCCAAAATAGTACAAACGAAAGTAAGAAAGCTTAGCTCATGAACCATACAGGAAGCAACCTCTTCAAATAACTGTTCGTTCAGCACTTTATTGGGAACAATGCTAATTGGGCGTTAAAAGAAAAAGGCGCTCTTCCTTATTCGTAAAAATGTTTGTAAAAAAGTTTTTTTTCCTTTTGTTTATTTCATACGGCCAAGGGTACGTACGGGATGTGTTATTATGGAATATATAAGCAGTGCATAGAAAATTTAAAACAAAAAGTGTTTGAAATCATGCTTGAAAATCATCTTGATCCAAAGCAGTACAAACGAAAGTAAGAAAGCTTAGCTCATGAACCAAACAGGAAGCAACCTCTTCAAATAACTGTTCGTTCAGCACTTTATTGGGAACAATGCTAATTGGGCGTTAAAAGAAAACGACGCTCTTCCCTAATGCAAAAAGTGTTTGAAATCATGTTTGCAAATCATCTTGATCCAAAGCAGTACAACCACACTCGATGTAATTTACCGCTTTGTAAACGATTTACATGCAAATGAGATTCGGGTCGAACACGAAACAGAGTTACATAATTTAACTGCGTTCATTGTCACCTATTTATTCATTCTCGCTTGA